TTTGTGGGTGTATATTTTTTGAATCACCACAGATCATTGTACTTATCTGAATGCGAGCCTTTTCTTTATCCCCTGAATGAATTTATAGCTCCTCTTAGGACAAAAGTACTTGAAGCAGACCCTTTCTTTGTAGCTAACACCATGAGGTAAGCCCATGTGTAAGGATATCCATGATCTGCATCATCTTAATGGTTTCTTAAATCATTCCTGACAAGCTGTCTCCTTCATATTTCCCTCCTTTAGCATTCATGTTCTGAGTACACCCATAGGGAGCATTTACAAATATAGAATGGCACGGAGAAGGTGAGAATGTTTGTCTAAAGTACTTTCTACAGGCAGGCTAATAATTAATGATAAACCTTCTAAAATATAAATATTTTAAATATTTTATATTTTTAAATATAAGGGTCAAAAAAATATTGACCCTTGTTAGATTGTGCTTATTTTGAGAATATAGCAATCTTTTTCCTTGAGGGCGTACTCTCTGGTCCTCTCCCTTATAATTAGAAAATCAAGGCAATAAATTTTAAATGATTATATAAATCCATCCCAATTTGGGAGCAAATGGTAGAGCAAAATTCTGCTATTGAATTCCACTCACATACACTGCCTGGAAAAGTATGTTCTGGAACCCAGGAGCTTGTTGGATTTATCCTTATTTGTCTTTGTTCAGATTCGGTGCAGATGCCACTGATATTAATATTGAAAATGAAATCTTGAAAATAGAAAGGAAAATATCCCCCTCCTTTTCTGTCTTCCCCTCTTAATCCACTGAATCCCCACAGAAATGAGAAGCAACCCAATAGGATTATCCCAGGGCCAAGTTCATCCAGTTCACTTAGCAAAGGCCCCACATTTGAATATTGACAGAAGAATGTATTTACATTTGCTTAGTTAGTTTCCATTAAAGTTCACACAACAAACAATTTCTTCTAGCTTCAGTGTCTGGTTTTCACAGATTTCTGGCCAGAGCCTTTGTTTTCTCCAGGGATCCAAATAAGCATAAAATAAAGAGTGCTGTCATAATCTTCCCTCACTCACTCTCTAGGGCAGAGCTAACCAGGAGGGGGGTCACTTAGAAGACAAATACCCCCTCCCCTGCCCTGCTGTGCTCAGTCACTTCCCAATCTCTGGTCTATTCCCTTGCTTAAGGAGAAGAAAAAAGAGACACCCAGGCCCCAGTCTTGTTTACATTCCCCCCTCCTAAACAGCATAATAAAGGAACCAGAAATCAAATCGCAGGATATTAAACATTCTGCTTCTGAGAGTATCCGTATCGAGGGAATGAAAGCGAGTTGAGATTCGGTGCCTTTAAGTGCCTAGTTCCCATTTACAGTACCAACCATAAGGCTCGGAGTCAGCCTGTGTGTCCTTATTCATCAGTGGGAAACAGTGAACACTCAGAATCCCAATGTTGCACTCCTTTCTCTGGAACCCACGCAAACCACTTTCTCCCTGAGAGGCAGGAATCAACAGAGCAGGAAAAATTATTAGTGATAAAGAAAATGCCACCAAGTCCCCCAGCTTCTCCTTCTGGTGACTGTTACCAGCCACTGTCCTCTGAGGTGAGCTGATCTCTGCTTCCCAATCACCCAGGCTCCTTCCCAGACGACCCCTTCCTGTTCCAGGGTGAAGGCAAAGGCTGGCCTCTCCTGGGCACATTTATCTTCAACCCCCAGTGAACAAGCTGAGCACACAGTAGACTAACTCATTTATTTCTACTCATTTATTGATGGTCTTTCATAACCGAGTTATTAAGTCATCAATAACTTCAGGGAAATAAATGAATGGGTCCAGAACTGGGCCAACAGATATTGAAGATATACCCTGGAATTTGTATCTAGGGTCAGCAGAAAAGTCCAAGCTGGGGGTCTTCAGGAGCGTTTTCCTCACCTAGGAAAGTGGGTCCTTCTGCTGGTCTCATTGGAACCCAGTGTACTGTTCTACTGTAGCACTGGCATCCCATTGTTCATCAATTTGCTTGAGCAGGCACCAATAACGTCTCCATTGTGAGACTTCTTGTTACTGTTTTTGGCATATTGAATACTCCACGGGACACTTGCCAGGTGTACTCTCAGTAGCTTGACGGGATCTCCAAGAGGGATGGAGAAATCAAACTCGGGTCGGCCGCATGCAAGGCAAATGCCCTACCTGCTGTGCTATACTCCAGCCAAGTATTGTTCTACAGGGTAGGGAAATGAATGGGTCTGGCCCAGTCTCCAGTGAAGAGAAGTTTGAGTCAGTTCACAAATTGTCACCCAAGGTGGGTTGTTACCCAATGTGGGTTATTATCATTAGCTGAGCCAAACAGCTTCCTGGAAGCTTGGTTCAAAATAAAAGATAAGCTCTTTCAGGAGTGTTGTAAAGTTGGAATATCATCCTGCCTGTGAGGGGAAAAGATAGAATAAGGGCTAAAGGACAGCACAGGGTGAGGCACTTGCATTGAGGGCAGCTGACACCGGTTCTGCCCCCAGCGCGCCCTGAACTTGTTCACTCCTGAGCACAGGGCCAGGAATAACCCTGAACACCACCAGGTGTCACCCCCAAACCCTTTCCCTAAAGAAGAAAGAATAAAAAGGGCAGGGAAGAAAGGAGGAAAACCGGGCTTCTGAGATCTTGGGAACCTCAGAACCAGTGTCTAAGGCCCTGAAGTTCATAAACCTAACATGAAGAAGGGGTTTCCCAACGCAGTCACTGGCTGAGGAGAATCTGGTGTTTTCATTGTTTGGGAGCATGGTGGCTGCTGATTTAGTTCTACCTTTAAAGCACCCGCATATTCTGATCCCATCTCCCTGTTCAAATATCTTTGCCCTAGTTTCTTCCTACTGTTGCCTCAAAACCCCATCTGGGTTTTGTTGGGTTGTTTGCCTTGAAGCCAAGGGCAGTGTGTAATGTATATAAATATATGTGTATGCCATACTCATTGCAGCATTATTTACAATAGGTGAGAGTTAAAAACAGTCTAATTGCCCATTGACAGCGGAATGGATTAAAGAGCTGATGAATCTGTAGCATTCCACACCATGGAATGCTACAGAGCAATTTTTTTGAAGGATTAAATTCTAACATTGGCAACATTAATGGACCTAGAGGGTTTTATGCTGAATGAGTCACACAGAGAAAGACAAATAAGCCATGATTTCACTTAGGTGTGACACAGAATGAAATGGAACATAGGGATTAACTAAAGAAAAATAAAATATTACGTGATGAAGAAAAAGTTTGGTAACATTGAACTCATTAAATTTCATTTAAGTTACCCTATGAAGCACTCACTAAGTATCTCAGCCTGGAATACAGAAGAGGAAGGCTGGGAAACTAGAGAGACACTTGACCTCTGCAGCTGCTAATGTGGGCCCCGAAATGGGTTGCAGTCACAAAAGAACACAGAACTCTACAGCTCTTGGAAAAGCATATGTAGGTTGTTAATCATTTCTTAAGTTCTAAATTTATATCACACTAGAAATGTATCCTAGAATTTTCAAATAAATAGTTCATGTTTAAAAAAAAAAGAAAAGAAAAATCCGATTGAAGGCATGAAGCTCATCCTTCCCTGAATGACTGGCAAAGAACTTCCTTCCATGCCTCTCGGAACCGTGACTTCTCTGAGGAAACCAGACAAGGGCTGACTCAGAGGCCCAAGATAACCCATGAGAAGGGCCGCCAGTTTGGGTCTTAACTAGGCACTAGCAGCCTCTGCTCCCACCTTCGCACACGAAAGACAAATGTCTGCTGAGAAATGGATCCCCCACTTGTGCTTCTGCGCTCCCAGGGCTGCTGGGAAGGCAAGAGCAGCATCTGCCAGTACACATGTTTCTGAGAGAGAATACAGCCCTTCGTGTTCAGCTATTTATCACGAACCTTCAAGGGACTGGCTGGAAACGAGTCGAAGGAGTAAACAAATGAAAGGGAAGCAAGTCCATCCGGTGCTTCCGTAGGATAGCTCACTGACCTCTAAGGTCTGCCATAAACCCCTGTTGTCTTCATGGACCCTTGTTAGCCCACAGACCACCACTGCCTTCCGGGGATCCACGTTGTCTTTCATGGAACATCATTATCTTCCATGGACCCCTGCTGTCTTCCCTGGACCACCATTGTCTTCCACGATCCCTGACAGAGTCATAACCATATTCGGATGGTGAACTTAAGTTACCATGCAGGGTTGGGAACTGAGCAATGCAATGATGTCACTCTTAAGAGAAAAGCGTGTTTCATGCTGGCATCACAACGGCCGTGGCTAGATTTTGCTTTTCTTGCCTCTCTGCCGCGTTCACAAAAGCGTTTGACCTCTTGCCATTTTCTCGAATTTTCATCCTCTCCTCTCCCATAAATGCAGTTCAGATGCATTCATTTTTGTCCTTAATTTCTTTTCTTCCACCCTCTGACTGTAGCCCTTTTGAAAAAGAAGAAATGAAACATAATTATTGCAAGTTTCTGATCAGACATATCTTTTTCAAAACTCTCAAATATGAAAGCAGGAAGCTGTCAAAAAATAACTGTCACTTTTGGTTATGATCTATCCCAAATAAAATGAATGAATAAAAGCGGGTTTCTTAGTTGTTAGACTGTATTATCCCAGAAATCTTGACCTTCTGGTAAATTATAAGGAAATATCATCCTAATTTGACAGAAATAAACTGTAAAATTCCCACAACAGCAATCTGACAGAAATATCATTTTTATTGATGTCAAAAGTGGCATTTCTTAGCTCATTAATAAAATGGGGACTATTAAGAAAAGCCAGTGTTGAATTATGCCATAAGAGTTTCATTCACATGGTTAAGATCCATGAGGTAATTTGCTTGTCAGATTCTTCATCATATAGATAAAAATGCTCAACCAAGAATGCGATTAAATTTAAATGTGATTAAATTTAATCTGGTTTGACATGCATTTTTATACTTTTTATACACCATCTCTTATATATACTCATGTTGATGTCCTTAGATCAATATTTTCTATGGATTATTTATCCAATGCCTTTTTTCTCTTATCTTTCTCCAGGAAGCAAATAACATGGATAAAAGCCGGACAAAGACAGAGAGTGCTTGGCTCTTCCAGATGTGGTATGGCTTTGACCACAAGTATCCTTTGAATATGCTTCTTCCCTAGTTTGGCCGCTGGGCGGAGACCCGACACCCACTTGCACTTTTTCCTGGAGCCACGTGCCACCACTCTTCAGGAAATACAGGTAAAGAATTCACAGTCAAATTATAAAAATGAATGATTTTCTCCCAAAAAGAAAAATTGTGTGGGCCACACTTCAGTATTCAAAGAGCGGAAGCAAGTTCCCAGAATGGAATGAACCTGAGTTATCCTTGGCAATCTCATCTAATGCGACGGCATAATCCTCACATCTCTTCATTCTGTTTACTCTTCTTCCTTTTACATGGACCTCAGGTGTGGCTGTGGAAGGTCAGAATGCCCAGACAAAGCTTCTCACCCGACTCAGCAGTGATTTTATCTCACGCTGAGAAGCTGGAATCTGAGGGAATTGTGCTGAGTGAAATAAGTCTGAAAATGAAAGATAGGAACCAGTGGTTTCTCTCCTATGTGAAATATAAGTGAACCAACAAAACAGAACAGAATTATCTCTAAGATGTTGTGAAAAATGTGATGGTTACTAGAGAAGGGATGAAAGGGGGTGGGAAAGAGAAGAACAGAGAGGCCATATTTGGTCACAGAAAGCACTAGAACTTAGGGCTTGGGACTTGAAACTTGTACACCTCCAAAGAGGTAATTCCAAGCTCTGGACAGCAGTGGAAGTCAGTAGGTCAATACAATTTTAATCAAAGCATAAAAACATGGAAGTGGAGAGGGAGAAGTGGGTGAATAGGCCCCAGAGAAGAGTGAGTCTGGTGGTGACATTACAAAAGAAGCTTCCTTCATGTTCCAGACAGATGGGGGTAAGTCAAGAGCAATTTTTTCCAGTAAAGAGCAATTTAAATGTCAATCCGTGTTAGCGACTCTGACATGCCTCCGAGCCTGGTGACTGGCAGGGCTGGGGAGTCAGGTCTGAAGCGCTTGTCGTTAGGAGGAGCAGGAAGCAGCCCAGCTCTAATCCCAACCCAGAGCCCCTTGGAAGAAAGGGAAGAACTCACGGGAGACAGGGTGTATTCGGTCTTTGTGGTTCATTGTCCACAGTCGCAAATCCCTGTCCTTCCAGAGATGCGACGTGAGTCACTCGGTGGTTTTTAAAGCACCTCAGCAATAATTAGAACCGTGGCAGACCAGTAGGTGAGAAAGAAGGATTAAGGACAGAGGAGAGGAATTCAAAGAGCTTTTAGAAAGATGGGGACTGGAGTGATAGTACAGCGGGTAGGGCGTTTGCCTTGCATGCGGCTGACCTGGGTTCGATTCCCAGCATCTCATATGGTCCCCCAAGCACCGCCAGGAGTAATTCCTGAGTGCAGAACCTGGAGTAAGCCTGGTGCATCACCAGGTGTGACCCAAAAAGAAAAAAAATTAAAAATAAATAAAATTAAAAAATAAATAAAAAGATGTAGGAGTGGAGAAAAGGTGAGAGAAATTGGGGGAAATCATAGTAGGGATGGAAGGGAGCACGTAAGAGGAAGGAGTGGGAAACAGGAAACAACATTAGGGGAGGTGAAGGCAGCTGGCATTGCCAGAGGAAGTAGAATGGAAAAAAGAACGTGAGCACTGGAAAGAAATTCTGCCAAGGAGAGCATCCGGGGGTCAGCGACAAGGGAGAGGCCTCCCAGCCATGGTGCTACCACTGCTTACTCTGGGGGCAGGACTTGCCTCAAACAGTCTTGGGTGTTTCTGGAGAGTCTGGGTTAACCCACCTTCGCAGTAGGTCAACTGGAGAGCCTGTCATTCTGTCTCTCCATCTGGTCTCCAGAGGGGGGATGGGTTTGAGGTGGTTGCTGCATGAGGTTCCTGGCTGATTTCTGTTCTGGAAGCCCATTGTCCCAGAGCTATTGCTTCAAGGCCCCAATCACCAAACGCGCAGGAAGCTATACAGATCTGATGACAGAGTAAACGCACAGACCACTAGATCTTGACAAGAGGGCCAATAAGAAAAGGCAAAAGTGGAAAGGAGATCAAAGCTGCTTTGTTCAAATTTTGCACATGCCATAAATAATGATTTGTGGTGAGAGCAGGGGGGTGAAGTGGGGGGAAAGTCACTTGGGGACATAACTATGAAAGTCTGCCCCCACCCCCCCTTTTAACATAGCGCAGAGCTCTAAATTTAGATGACAGCATGGTTCAGGTCGGCTGTCCAGTAGGGTTGATTTCCATATGATTACGGACAGACTGGAAGAAGGAAGGCAGATTTACACTCTCAGTAATATCTCTTCTCGCCGTAATTTGTTCTCCTGTGCATTCAGTCTCGAAATTGCCTTGCCACCACCACTGCCCACATATATTCCCACTTAGCTAGCAAAGTTTTTATATTCTAATTATGTTCCAAATGTACATCCGGAGAGTCACAGGCCAAACAGTGTCTGTGACCTTTGAATACATCTGGATTTTGGGAGACAGATGATCCACTTGGCATTTATGTTCATTCTATTGTTTGTCTGGAACCCCGGGGATGTACCCAGAAACCTCCTACGCGGGCACTGCTTACTGTCCTGGGTCAGGTCGCCTGGCAGAGGCCAAAGAGAAACTGTGAGCTTGTACGAAACTGTTATTCAGTTTGGAGCTGCTCAAATTTTATTTCAGTACAACTGAAATGCATCATGCAAATGAGGCTTCATCAAGATTTACTGACAAAAGAAAAAAGAAGAAATAAGCCTTCATATGCTATACTTGTATTGGTCAGAATTCTTCAGAGAAATAAGAACAGAATCAGTAGGAATACATATAAACACATGCAAATACTTATGTATACATGCACACGTATGTGCATGCTTAGAGATATATGCCTGTACACATTATGTGCATATACATCTGCCTTTACATGCATAAACACATATACATGCATGTAGATATGTGATGAATATACATCAACCTGCATGCATTTGCATACATATCGTATATATCGATATGCATTTATTATGCACATGCATGGCAATTATATATCAACACAGAAATGCATACATACTAATGAAATGTACATTTCCATGCATAAACACATGTAAATATCATGTAGATGAATTTCATATATATTTATAGCATGTATCTAGTGACATGTGCAGACGTGCATACAAATATACATGCAGAGATTTGTTTTGAGGAATTGACTTGGCAATTGAGTGGGCAATTGGGTGGGGTGGCAAGTCAAAATTCACAGGCCCTTCTCAGTACAGAAATCCCCTGAGGGCTGAAACTGGGGTTGTGAGATCAAATTCCTTCTTCTTCTGAGAAACTTCCTTTTTTTTTTCTCTTAAAACTACCCAACTGATTGTCAGGTTTGGCTCATGTTACCAAGGATGATCTCCTTTATTGTAAATCAGTGACTGTTGATGGGAAATGCTTGTGGATAGCAACCATTAACAATCAATCTGCAATGCACCTAGATTAGGATTAGAACGCAGAACCAGGACCCTGAGCCAAACTGATTCATAAGACTAAGCACAATATATTCCACTCACGTTCTATGAACATCTCTGGGATAGAAGACCCTGGTAATTCCCTGCCAGTATCAATAGAACATGCTGTTATTCTAGTTTGGTTTGGTTTGGTTTCCCTGTTCACAGCATGGGTAATATACATAACACATTTGTGTCAAAGGGTTTCTGAGAACTACAGGGGAATACAGATAACGTCAGTCAGCATTCAAGGTAGACAGCAGTGGCCACGCTCTGCATGGCAAGCTTCACCTGTATAATCTCACTTCACCCTCCTGGCTCTGTGGAGAGAACTGTGGACACACAGGGTCTGCGTGTGGTGTTGGCTCTGCTCCAGGTGCGCTGTGAGCCCTGTGTGATAGGGGCTCATCATGGGCCCATGAAGATGCCTTATGACTCGAGGGGGACTTCTGGGGGCATGCACCACAACAGAGCAGTTTAGAAGGGGAACTCCAGACCAAGCTCCCCAACTTGGTATATTCTTTTATTAAACGGTTAGAACGACCCTTTTTGTTTTGTTTAGTGCATTCAGCCACCCTCTCTGAGACCCACAGAGATGCCTCAGAGGCTGTCCGTGAGTCTCTTAGGGATTCCAGGGATACTTTTTCTCTTCCGCATGCCAAGCAGTGGTTTGTCTTATTTTGCAGCCCAGACTTACTTGACTCTGTATGCAAAACCCCAAAGTGTTTCACTCTACACACTCACCATTGCAGCAACAAATCCTGAGAAACAACAACCCATTAGATCTCCAGCTCCTCTTGGGGATCCAAGAGGTGGTAAGATTTGGGAGGCGTGAGTGACTCAACAACACCACACGCAAGGAGTTCTCAGACTTCCAAATCAAGTCCTCAAGTTTTCAGGGACAAACAGTTCAATATTCCCCAAACTTCAGAATGTGATACTCCCTGCCTGTATTTTAGTCAAGGCCAAAGAAAGAGTCACCTGCAGAAACCAAATGCCACGTTCCAGAATCAATATGCAGATCCACATGGGTAAGAGGGTTCTTTCCCAGCCCTGAGAAAGTACAACTTGTCATCTGGTTCCTAGAGTTGTCCTGATCCACCCCCTCGCCTCCCCACTTCTGCACTATCCCAAGCACTGCCTCTGGACCTTTGCACCAGTTCTTCACTCTGCTGAGCTGCCTTCTTCCCCGATGTCTCCTTGCCTCCACCTTTAACTCTGGGAAGCTTCCTGGCTCTATGTTTAAACAGTCAGTCCCAGTAGAGCTTCCCTCATCTCTTCTCTGTTTCCCTTGCATCATCCCATCACCCCACCCCCACCACCCCCACCTCCTGCACTGTGGACTTTATTTGCTTGTCATGGTCTCCTTCAACCAAGCTAGAAGCTTTCTGCTGAGAGAGAGTTGGTTCATTTGGTCTGGGTTCATTTTCTGCTGTGACCTGGGGCATAGAACAGTATCTGGCATATATAATAGGCACCAATGGATGTTTGTTAGAGAATGAAGGAACAAATGAATGAATGAGGCAAGGAATGTGTTCTATCCAGGGAATCTCTGTTCTAACAGACAAAGCAGGGAAATCCAATCA